GGTTGGTAAATCCGAGTTGTGGTGTTTCCCCATTTAATGCAGATGTAGGTTACCTCATGTTATTAAAGGTTTGCTACTATACTGAGGCTCTGTGCTTGCGAGAGGGGAAGAATTGCCTCTTTTGAGGCACCCAGAGGTGTATGTAAGATTTCCCAGGTCACTGGGTGGGGGCTCGAGCCGGTGTTGTATTACCTCGTTGGGAGGAGACCCCTAGATACTGAACCCGGCCCTTGCTGCTGCTATTTACTCGGCCTGGCAGAAGGGTTACATAATATAAACGTAAATCAGACCAACCCCAACTTTTAAAAGCTGTATAGGCAGCTGTGGAGGCTTGTTTCTCAGGTGAATCAAATTCAGCGTGGCAGCTGCAAGCTGGTGCTGTGGAATTTTGTGGTGCCTTGTGGGTACGCTACTTTTAGCATGACCCTGTGGCATTTTGTCATTCTAAAACTTCTTGTGCGTGAAATTATTAATCTCAATACAACTCTGACAACGTTACACTGTTGTTGCTGCAGTGTCAATTTATAATACATTGTGTGTGTAACTTGCCAAAATAATGGCTATTTTTTTGTTCTAAAATTGAGGAATTAATTTCCCTCCTTCAGTTATTTAGACTCTAAAAACATCTAATCAGATTCTAAGCTAGATGAGCATCACTTCAGGAGACCAATGATACCAGAAATGCAACTTGAGTAAGGGGGCTCAGAACATGGTGGTTTCCTAAACTAATTATAATACAATTGCAATTTGTAATGTAGATGGAGTCAAACACTTTTGATAGCTGTCCTAAATGCTCTGTGAAGTAGCCCTGTTAGTCTGTAACTTAAAAAACGAGTGGGCCTTAGAGCAGAGATCAGCAACCTTTTCAAACCAAAGAGCCAGATTACATCAAAGTTCAGAACAAGTGGTCAACAAAATGCCGTATAAGAATGTCCAGTTGCATGACAACTTAATACTATTGAAAATTGAAATAATGATTAATAATAGCACAAATGAAACAGTACTCACAGACTTTATTTAACGGGACGTCTGCTGCTGCATCTTTTTGCACATTTCTTTGAAGTTTACATCATAACTGGTCAAAACCAGCTTCAGGCATGCATTCAGGTTGTCATCGGTCAATCTTATGGCAGAGGGCTGGGGATGTGGGGGTGCATAAGTTTGGGGATGTGGGGGTATGAGGGACTCAGAACAGGGGGTTCAAGTGTATGATGGGCTCAGGGCTATGGTGGTGCAGGAGTGTTATGATGCTGAAGCCAGACGGGGACTGGGCCATAATTGGAGGCTTGTTGGCAAGGCTTCATTTTTGAGTAAAGTAATATATTATGCCCAACACAAAAGGTTTCAACATTGTCTTTATTTATGGCAGGGGTACCATTTTTGGGTTAGGGGTCACTCACCCACAGAAAAATCAGTCAGGGACCACATGTGAGAAGCAAAAAAACCCCCAAAACAATCCCTCCAAAGCCTCACTGATGTGGCCCCCAACTGAGATACTTCACTCCCTTGGTGCTTCAGCCCCACGGAGGGGGAGGGACAGGGGGACTGAGGTTCAAGGCCTCAGGCCAGATTAACTCTTTTGGGGTTCCAGGGTTAGTGGATTTTGTGGGCCCTCCTAAAGCTCTGGGGTGGAACAAAAAATGAGGGGTCCAGTGTGTGGGACAGAATGGCCTGTGAGTAGGGTAGGAATGGGGATGCAGGAGCAGGGAGGGGAAAGGCGTGCGCAGAGCCGTTTGTAGCACCGACTTTTTCCCTGATCGCGCAGCAAGGCTCAGGCCTTTCTCCACTCCCTTGCGCCTGCAGGAAGCAGGTGCTGGCTCCAGTCTTGTGAGGGTCACGAGGCTACAGCGCCAGCACGGGCTCCCTGTTGTGGGAAGGACCGAAGAGTGAAGGGGGGCTGAGCTCGAGATGTGAGCCATATTTGGCTCCTAAGTGAGACATATATGGCTTGCGACCCTTGCCTAAGAGACTTACAAAAATGTATACAATATCATGAGCTTTCGTGGGCACAACCCACTTCTTGAGATGAGTAGCAACTTCCTGTAGACATACCCATCTTGACTGTATAAATGGGCCTTTTAAATTGTTGAACCTTTCCATTCTACGCTCTGTATCCCGATCCCCAGAAAGGGGACTCACAATGCTGATTAATGTAGTCTTTCAACATATAGGACTAAATTGTGGCTTGTCCTATACAGGGGCTCAAAAAGATACTCTGAGTTAGCCAGGGCTCACTCAGGGCCACTTCCAGTTGTGCTCATTTGCTTTTACAATGTGAATTTGTTAGATCTGTCGATAGCACACTAACATGTTAGTAAGAAGCTAGTATTTGCCATGGCTTTTTACCTGTGTTGTGGATCTACAGACTTCAGGTTTAGGAATGCCAGTCCAGCACTCTTCAGAAACACTGATTTACTTTTAAATAATTTGATTAATTATTGCAGTTCTTGTGGACTACTGAAAGATTTAATATCAGCCAATTTTGTTATTTTACTTTATGCATAATATTCCCTCTCCTTTTAAGTTTCTCTAATCTGAGGTTCTACTATATAATAAACAATGAAAAATGTTAGTTTTGTCAAACTTTCCTCTCTGATCTGTGATTACAGAGATAATCACAAATATATATCAAATAAATATCTTGGTTTACTTATATTGAACCAGTTTTTAACATAAATGGGTGATACTGGAAACATGCCCTTTTGCCTCCTTTTAATACACTGGAATGTGCAAATCCAGACTTTATCTAGTATCCTCAGGTTAGGAACAACTCTGTCTAGAGTTCTCTTAAAAGGTTAGCATGCCATTTACATTCCCAAGCAATTTGTTTTGCAGCCAGAAGTCTGATCACTTGATGTTCCATCTGTTTGGGTTGTCTGTTCTTCTCATTTTGTACAGTTGATAGTTTCAAAGCTATGTATGAAGATTTATAGCTTCTTAAAACAGTACTGCTTACAAGAATAGTTTAACATGCCAAGCATCTCGATGTTATCAACACTTATTTCAATGTTGCTCTGTGGTTATGCGGTACAGTTTATTTTTAGGTGATACAAACAATAAAATTCTCTAATAAAAATACTCCTGGCTTCCTAAGATTCAGCTTCCAGTGGAAAAATCGACAACATTCCCTTCAGGCAAAATAAAAATTAATGTATAGTTTCAAAGATTGTTCCTCATGGGGATACTCTGTTAAATCCCAAGCCTATTCTTCATTGTCAGTGGGAGAATGATCAAGGCCATAAACTTTTGGAAGGAGGGATTGGTTGGATTCAGAACTTCCCATCTATGAACTAATATATGTGGTTACACCTTTGTTCTGTTGTGACTGATGCTGTCTGGGCTATGGAGCCAACACAAACAATTTTACAGAAAACAGAGACTTGTAATATTTGTTTTCTCGTTGATTGCAAATGATAGTTTCCATGAAGGCTTGCTTGTTACCTGGGGGACGCAATGTCATGTAGCAGATGAAGCGGAATTCTGAAATTAATAAGACATAGGTAGTTTTTTGAAGTTAAGACATTTTTATTTTTTTAATGAAATGCAATAAAAAAGGAGAGAGCAAGCAATCTGCATTATGGCTTATGGACCCTGAGTAGTCCTTTTGGATATATTTTTTCTCATGGAGAAATGTTAGTAATGATGACAGCTGATGCATGGAAGCATGTCCTCTAACTTTGACCAAAAGGCTCTTTGCATTTTATGGTATTTCCCACTTGGGAAATAAAATCTCGCAGGGGAGGAAATCACTGTGTCCTTTGGGTCACCAAGAAATAGGCATCATGTAAGTAAACATTTAAGATGTAATGACTGATTTTTCTGAGTACCAACGGATTCTGATAATTTTAGTTTTATATGGTGTCTTACAGAGACTCCAGTTTTTTCCCCCAAAACTGTTTATGAGAATCAGCCAGCTCTCTGCAAAAGTGAAACATGCAATTCTGAAACAGCACTGTAAGAGTTTAGGTGGCATTTGGGCAAGAGATGAAAGTTAGTAGCCCTGCTTGTGTGAAGAATGCAGTGGTAACCTTCCATTACTGCATGTGAACAGGACCTTAATTTGTCATTTCATTCAAAAAATAACAACTCCAGCTTCCTGGCAACCCTGGATCCTATGGTTGCACATTTTCAGTTCTGATTCTAAGGAATATTGTTACTTGAATGACCAGCTCAACTTTATGTAGCAGTTAAGTAGTTCTGGTAGTCTCCCATCCGAATATTGACTCCGCTCATTATGATTTGATTGGACCAAAGCGGAGGGTGATCTGGCTGCATGACTTTTATTTAATTAAAATAATGGAAATATTTTAAAATGTTAAATACCTTTTCTTATTTGTCCAAGCTGCTGCAGGGGTATCTTTCTATAGATTTGAGCGCTTGCTAGCCAGAAACTTTCTTCTGTAGCTGTCCTGTTCCCAGTCTTGCCCCCTTACTTCTTGGAGCATCTGCATTTACTCTGTTCATTCCACTTAACACTTTTTTTTTTAGTTAGCAGCCTGATAATCAAGGCTTCATGAGACTATAAAGCCAGTATTAGTAACAATGAATCTTCATTACTACTGAAGCAGACCAGGCCGGGTGTCTTTTATAGTCATGTGACTTTGTGGAGCTTCATTACTACTGAAGCAGACCAGGCCAGGTGTCTTTTATAGTCATGCAACTTTGTGGAAATAGCAACAAAGAAATTGCTATTTGTTCCAACTGCTTAGAACAGTGCTGCTGTTCTCTAGTGAAATGATTTGTATTAAAATAATAGTTTGATTGTTTTACTCACATTAAAAGTGTGCAGGCATTACCTGATGAACACAGACTCTATTCTGTATTACTGTTTGCTCATACAGTTTTGCATTATAAAGCAGTTTATAACTGGTTTGTATATGTAAGGGAGAAGAGGGGTAGAGTGTTTGTTTTTGTTGTTGACCTAAGCGCCTGATCACTGACATACACATATATAACAACTGAATGAATTTCAGTATGCAACATTTCACAGGTTTGATATATATTGAAACTGTTCTTACTAGTGATTTGTAGTGTACTACAGGCACTAGGGTTGTCATGCACATTATAAAGAGATGAGAAAACAACTTCCCTCCTTTTAACCTCATCTTCTTGATGATAATGATCTATATATCTACAGATAGGCAAAAAGCTTACCAGCTCCCCTGCCTGAACCTCATCTTCTTGATGATAATGATCTATATATCTAAAGATAGGCAAAAAGCTTATCCGCTCCCCTGCCTGAACAAACTGGCTACGTCTAGACTAGCATGATTTTCCGCAAAAGCTTTTAACGAAAAAGTTTTCCGTTAAAAGCATTTGCGGAAAAGAGTGTCTAGATTGGCACGGACGCTTTTCCGCAAAAGCACTTTTGTGGAAAAGCGTCCATGCCAATCTAGGCGCGCTTTTGCACAAAAAAGTCCCGATCGTCATTTTTGCGATCGGGGCTTTTTTGCGCAAAACAAATTTGAGCTGTCTACACCGGCCCTTTTGCGCAAAAGGACTTTTGCCCAAATGGGAGCAGCATAGTATTTTCGCAAGAAGCACTGATTTCTTACATGAGATCGTCAGTGTTCTTGCGGAAATTCAAGCGGCCAGTGTAGACACCTGGTAAGTTTTTCCACAAAAGCAACAGCTTTTGCGGAAAAACTTGCCAGTCTAGACACAGCTAAGTATAGCAGCTTCAGGGGGTAGTCGAGTTAGTCTGTACAGGATAAACTTAAAAAACAACAAATGGTCCAGTCATCTGAAGAAGTGGGCAGTGCCCACGAAAGCTCATGATACTATCTACATGTTTTGTCAGTCTGTAAAGTGCTACCAGACCATTTGTTTAAGTTTAAACTAAGTATAGTATGTGTCAACAAAAGTCTTACATCATTCCTCATAATCAATATAATTTATTTTGATACTATGCACCTAAATGACTTCCTTTCTCTTATGACCATCCTGCTCTATCCCATGTTAAAGTTTTCGGCTTAGTTACAATTTATGAAAGGACTGATGGCAATCATTCTTCATTTAAGTGGGTGTCTGAACTACATCCATTACACCACAGTCACAGTGCAGTTGAGCCACCTCATTCAGGAGAGCCTTTTCTACACGATGGGTGTGAAAAAACCCAAACTGATGAGATCGTAATGAGAAAGTCACAAGTAACAGCAACTGGCTTAGCTCTACTGAAGATGTGTGAAAATTCATGTGTGTGCTTCTCCACTTTGCTATTCATTGGTTTCAAGTATTGGATTGTCTGCTAAATCTCCCTTCTCCATATGCAAACACGTGTAGAAGAAGAGGGTACAGTATGATGGGAAAGTGTGTTAAAAATACACACACAAGCTGCTTTATAAGATAAGGACAAAAGATTTCTAGGTAAAATTTAATGGTAGAAACAGGCTTAGTAGCTTGGAATGAATAGGACACCACTGCAGCAGAGTAAAATCCCTCTTATGTACCATAGTTCCCAGGTCCCTTCTCTGTCATCCCTAATATCCAACCTTAAAGGATTTTGAGGGCTAGGTGACTGCTTAATAAGTAGACTACAATAAAAATGCTAAGCTTGCAATAATTCTTTTGCTTCTGTTGGTACAAGTAAAGGGCTAATGAGATAAGAGAAGGGCCCAGGACTAAGGAGGTGGGGGGGAAGGGGGCGGCTGGTATTTATGGAGATTCAGTCTGTGTGGCTGAATGAGTTCCAGTGATTTTTAGTATCCACACGGCCACTCTCTCTTTCATCCTCAGATCAAAATTATCTGCTCAAAGACCTTGGAGTAGAAAAGCAGACATGTAGAGAAGATAATACATGGTTTCTAATACCTGCCATGCTCTCAATATAAAAGAAGATACACTTCCCCATCAGGGTCTCACATGTAATCTCTCTCTGCTTTAATTTGGCACAGTAGGTAATTTCAACTTTCTATATCTGGGCCATAAGAAATGAAAATTGTAGTGTGTATACATTTGTGTGGGTAACTAGTCAGGGAGGAGAATTTCCTTTTGTTGTTTTTTTATTATTTGAGAATTAGATGTAAACTTCCTGATTTTTCTTTTGTATTTATACCTTCTGCTATATTGTTTTTGTTTTGTTTTTAACAAAACCTTCTCCTTATTAATGAAAAGGGACCTAATAACTTTGTACTGTTTTAATCATCAATCATTTAGTTAGGAGATCATGCCAATTTCTCTTTGAGTTGCTGTGAGTCTTGGGGTAGGGTTAGTGCAATCCTGGGTCATAGGCACTCCAAGATGTAAGGACTCCACATTCATGCTCTGGCTCTGAAACTTTTGATATTAGCAGAGCCAATAGCACAAGAGGGTATAAATCACTTGATATCACAGTGTATTTTAGGAACCCTCTGTGACATTTGTTTACTATCCACTTTGTGAATGAGTATTGAAATTGTAATCTTATTTAAAATTCTACTTTGGATTTACTTGGCTTTTCTTCTTGGCTTTTCCTTTTTTATGGCAGTAAGTGGAGAATGGGGGGATACGGAGAACTTCCTCATTATGGGTACTTCATATCTAGAAATGGGGATAAAGTTTATATATTTGTAACAAAGGGAACTGAGAAGAGTGTATTGTGTACATGGTGGTGGGGAAATACCATCAAAGCAGAGACAGAGGAAGAGACGAACACAGAGTAATCATTTGGTAACACAGACTAATACATTTTTTTTCTTAATCCTGGGATAGCAGCTAAAGTAGCAGTGATGAGGAAAAGGAGGAGGTGGCATACTTGCTGTTCACAGACTATCTCTGAAGGGCTGATTTTAAAAACTAGAGAGGCAAAATCTTTTACAAGTGCTGAAAATTTCCAATCTGCCACTTTCTTCTTGCTTCTAATACTTTGTCCTTCACTTGCTCTGTATTGCTCTGGGGGCTGACTGTGACCTCAAGTATCCCAATTTCTTCCTTGTCCCTCTGTAACAGTAATGGACAACCTTAATAGGGTTGCCAGGTGTCTGGCATTGAACCGGACAGCCTGGTATTTGCATCTTCTATCCAGTTAAAAAATTCAGAAAAAACGGACATCTAAAATGTCAGTAGGCCTCTTGGGAAATGCTGGGGTGAAAGGAGGGGGGATCGACCCATGACTGCATTTTGGCCCCAGGCCTGCTGCCGACTTAGGTGCGGGTCGGCTTTTTTTTGAGGGGGGGCGGGGGGGGGGCGGTTGGTATTTTTTGTGAAACCATCTGGCAAACCTAGTAACTTAGGCTAATGAGTGTGCTGCATGAATGGGCTGCAGCTTTGTGTATCTTCAGTTTGTGGGGTGTGCTGGTAAAGCGGTGTTACAGTTCAGATTGGATGAAGAGGGAAGACAGCTCTCACTGTCAATGTTGCGTACAATCAGTACTGGGGATGTAAAATTCTGTGTAATTGGTTAACCAGTTAAATGTATTGTTTCACCAGTTAACTGATTAAAGCGGGGGGCAGGCGGAGGGGCCCTCCAGCCCATCAGTGGGCTGGAGTAGGGCCACTGGTCCGGAGCAGTCCCCCTGCTGTTGGTAGCTCCTGCTTGCGGGGCACCTTGGCCTGCTGTGAACAGAGGCGTCTCACTGGCAGGTGAGGGACTGCTCCAGTCCCAACCAGTTAACTGAAATTGGTAAGCATCACTTGTCAAGGTTAACCTTCCATATCCCTAACCAGCATACACCTCACTTCATGTGCCCTTATTTTACATGTGTGTCACTTTAGTATTGTCCATAGGATAAAACCAACATGGATGGAAAACAGTGGAATCTGGCAACCCTGTGTGTAAGTAATAGTAAATAAAATGTCTCAAGTGCCACACATAGTGGCCCTCTGTAAGGTATGATGTGGGCCTCTAAAAGTCTGGCCTTCTCCCTTCCTTCCTTAAAGGGTAGGAGGGAAAGAAATGTCCTTTTTACTATTTCCCAGAAGGCTCCCTTCTCTGTCTCCAATGGCAGGCCTCTGCATCTCTTCCTTGAGTGTTTCCTTGCCAGGCTATTGCTAAGGAATTTTCTTGAGGTAGCCCCAGTCTCTCTGGCGACCATTCCTCTCTGCTTGAGTACCTTTTAGCTCAGCTGCTAATCATCACTGATCAGAAGCAGTAAAATAACTGGGTTGTCCATCAGCCCCTTCAACGGCTGCATGCTGTCCCTACATCTGTAGGAACCTTTCTCCTTCTGTGCATCAGGTTACCTCACACTTTTCTTTTGAGTTCCTCAAAAATTATCATTTTTCTCCCAGCAAACCTTGCATCACGAATCAACTCTTTTGGATCTTACTTCACATCCCTTTAATATAACTCACATTAGGATTTTATGAGTGAAACAGTTCTGGAGTATAGCATGTGAAATGTCTTGGGAACTTTTAATGAAAGGTTGGATATAAGTAAAAAAATATAGTTAGGAATGCTGAAAACTGAAAAGTTTTCTTGTGAGAAATTCATTATTTAAAACTGATAATGATTTTCCCAGCTGTCTCACATACAGCTCGGAAGGTGAAGTGAGTTTTTTGAAGACTTACAACTTTCTTATGTTCGCAGCTATACAAATGCTAAATCAGCCTGTGCCCAGATCCTGAATAGTGATAGCTTTCTGGAAAATTCCCTTTGCTGTGCATGCACAGGTAGCGGACGTAGAACCTTTTATTTAGGTAGGGTAAATATTTGCCTTTTAAATGTACTTTATCTGAAGACCGACAATCCGCAGTCTAAGGAAAAGTATTCAGGGTTCCCCCCACCAACAGCTACATATTAAAAAAAATTAATCATATGTTTCACAAGTCTCTGTAGAAATGGGGCAGCATATTACCAGTGAACAGTAAAGATGAAGGAAAAAAACCTTGTATGATCAATTCCTTTGAAGCTCAAATAAAAACATAGTACACCCAGAGATTAATTATGAATAATTGGGCACTAATGCATTGGCAACATGCATATGAACTTTAATCCATTCAAATGAAGAAAGGAAAGTGGATGAGTGGGGAAGGATGTTTTTCCATCTTAAAATGATTAGCGTTTTCCCTGTGGACTTGCATAAAGTGATAGAGAAAAAAGGGTGACACTTTCAAGTGGGCAGTGATGTCAGGTGCAACATATGATGAATATATGGAAGTGGCAGGAATTTGCACCAAGGGCTCTGTACCTCTGTACCATGCTATAGCAAACTTTCAGTGCTCCTTAATGTTCTATCTTATCCTGTTGTGATCCTGTTTGTTTTCAGCTTACAGCCCTATTGCTGTAAAAACAGCACAATAAGTAACGCACAGAAAACAAGCAGGTCAGGGTCAGTTCAGTTAGTTATTCAGTTGGATCCCTTGGCTCTCAGGCCCGTGATTTGTTGTGTGACATTCATTTATGTATTTATTTTGCTCTATAACCTGCTTCTAATGCCTATGCCAAATTGATAAAGGGTTCAGTCTCATGGACAGGGGGTAGAAAAAAATGTGTCCAGAACAGGGTGTGTGTGTTAGTGGAATAATGATTTCCTGTTACATTGCAGGTTCCCCCTTTCTCCTCATAGAATCATAAAACCATAGACTCCTAGGGTTGGAAGAGACCTCAGGAAATCGAGTCCAGCCCCCTGTCCAAACTTTTGTTTACCTCAGCCATGACAAGGACAAAAGTGGAGAGATCCTGATGCCACAAGTGGCTCAGTTTATTGCCTGACAACTTTTTAGTCAGATTCAGAGCATGTGCTCCCCAGAACAGCACTGGTGTATGAACAATAACCCCATCACACAACTTGTACTTGCTGGGCTGGGGATCCCTGTGATGTGACCTATGTCATCAATGACCTTGGCAATATTTTCCTGAACTAGCCCTGAGGATGAGTGATGGGGCTGTAATGCCAGCTAGAGAAATTCTGATGCTATCATAAGCCACAAGATTAAACCTTGTATTCATGTCCTGCATAGACAACAGCTCTGTGTTCAAAGCTGTTCCTTTGTTGGACAACATAATTTACTGTCTGATTCACAATTTTTTGGGGGGGCCTACCACTACAGGACATTTTGCTTCCTGTCTCTTACTCTAACAGCCACCTGTTCACCAACAGTGTGATTTTGTTTACAGTGATGGTGGGAATCCAGAGTGACACCTTGTCAAGTGTTGAGATTGTTTGGGGAGGGGTTACTATACAGGAATAGATCTTAACATTCTTATTAGTGTGGAATGTGTGTGGACTTTAAACTTTCCATTGGCTCTTTGTGTTGGATCTGAAAGAGGAAACGATGGAACAGCTATTTCAAAGCTGCACATTTTTATATTTAAAGTGCAGCTAAACCCACTGACTTATGAAATAATGAATCATTGATTTACAGGTATGGGTCAGATCTGAATACATAGATAAAAACATCCCCTTAAATCTATGCTTCCCTTTACTCCTGCATTTCAGAAGCCTCTTAGAAAAGCCTGCCAAATTTCAGTGATTCTGTTATTGACCATCTTAAACAGTGAACAGGTTGGGAGATGAAGTCATACTGTTTATCACCTAGAAAAGGCTTACAAAGAACAGCAAATGGAGCCTTTTCCCCTTTAAAGTGGCAACACTTTGGCTTCAGTATAAGGCACAAGCTGGGTGGAATCTGTTCATTTTTACCCTGTGGAGTCCTGCAGGGATTATATCAGCAAAGGATCTGGCTGAAAAACCTAGCATTCAGGTGCCACTGGCAGAAAATATCGAACTACTTCAGTCAAACCTGAGCAGCGTGCACATGAGGGAATTTGGGGGAGGAGGAGTTGTTTCCTTGGAAATGCTTCAGCTATGATCAAATTCTGGGGAGAAAAATCTTCCCAAATTTGTTGGGAGTGCGTAAGGAGGGGGAGGAGAGTGGTGTAGAAATGTAACTGTTTAGTTCTATGGCAGAAAGTCAGTTAATTCACTGACAGTCTTCATATATCCTTGTGTGTGCCATTTAAAAAAATTTGAATTGAGAAATCCTTTGGATGGTTTGAGTATTGAAAGTGTCTCTATTGTAGTGCTGCTGCTGAGATCATGTTGTTGATCTTGTTTTACAGCAGTCCTGCCTGTTGTGCAGAGTACAGAATGTTCTCTTCTGTGAACTGCAGTTGAACTTCTTCAGCCCACTTTGGTTCAGGAGCCACATTAATATATGGAAAGAGAAAGAGAAACCCTCCCACCCCCTCACAGGAAAAGCCCAACTACCAAAAGGTTTGATTTAATCACAAGCATTAGTATTGTCACTGTTTAAACTTTAGTATCAAAAGCTAAACCATTAAATGTTTTAAAGAACAAACTGTAACCTAGTTTCACAGAGATGGGTTAATGGATTTTCTTTAGTTGTATCTGTTCTAACTAAGCATCTGAGGTTTTTTATTTATTTTCCCCACATCACACTTAAAGCATCTGAGGTTTTTTATTTATTTTCCCACATTTCCCCACATCACACTTAGTTTCTTTTCTAAAATTGGGCATTGAAAATGTGCCTCACTCCACCAGTGACTGAGAAGGGCTTTGCAGAACATAGCAGCTGTGGCTATGGGGAAGCTATTTGAGTATTCGTCCTAATATGGTGCAACTTTTTAAGGAGGGTTCCCTAGGGATAGCTTTGTCCTTTCTTAGGCTATCAATATTGAAGCACTCATGGAAGGTGTACAAGCATCAGAAGAGCTAGAATAGTCGTTTTAACCTGTTGCAGCAGAATGAGGTAATAGTCTGTTGTCAGCATTCCATTGGAACTCTGGGACATAAGATTACTACGGATCAATGTAACCCATACAACCAGTGGGTATGATTCTCTGTCTCAGGTAATGACAGTCAAACCACTTACAGAGAGAGAAGGTGAATGAATTTGCTCTACAGCATTAGCTGATAGGCTGCTGGCTTTTAGCTCAGGCTGTAGAGGCTCATGTACTAGGTTCCAGAGCTCTCAGGTTCGAGTCTGCCTGTTGGCATTACATCAGCACAACTACATAGCAACTCAGCTCTCTTTTAAGAGGTTAATTTAAACATAATGTGATATGCAGTCCACTAAACAGAAGTAATATTTTTATGGTTAATTGAAATAAATCTGCATCAACCTTAGACTAACTAAAATCTCTGCCTCCCTCTCTGACATCTCAACATAGCTAAAAGAGAACTCCTAATTTCCTCAGATCTCCCTCGCTCCAAGCTTTCCTCACTACCTTGTTTCTTGATCACTGTGGGCAACATCCAGTGCTTAATTTGTAATGAAATAGATACTGGAGCTCAAGCAACTTTTTTACAAGCCTGGAGGTGCCAAGGCTATGAACTGCTAAGCCGAGAGGTGCTGGGGCAAGTGTTGGCACAGATTAAGCACTGGTAACACCATCATCCTGTGTGTCTGTCACGCAAACCCATAATGCATGTGTCATCTTCAACTTGAACCTGTCTCTAGGTCCTTGCAGTCAGGCTGTGTTTAAGGTATCACACTTCAAGATAGAGGTATCGCTTCTCAGCCTATTCAAGGCTAAGATCAAGTGTGGAGGAGATATGCCTATGCTAGCTCTTATTGACCTAACATGCTAAAAATAGAGTGTAGCTACAATGGCACAAGGTGTCCCCACCACTTATGCTGTCATTGGTACACTATTTTTAGTATGATTGCTCAATCAGAGATTGCATGAGTATGTTGTCTTGAGTGGGAAATTACACCTCCAGCGTGAAGCATAGGCATATACTACATCTTTTGCTGATTCTTTCTGCATGATATATTTAAGATATAGCCTTTCTTATACATTACTAAAACTCTCTCTTCCAGGCTTATATCATCTCATATCTCAATTACTGCACCATGCTTCTCTCTGGCTGAGAAAAATGCAAACTTGCCCCACTTATAGCCATTTAGAATGCTGCTACAAATATAATTTCCCTCACCCATTGCTTTGAACACATCACCTCTTTTTTTTTTAACCCTTCACTGGCACTCTCTTTTTTCTGTTCCATTAACAATAAATGACTTGTATTCACTTGCAAGGTCCTTCAGGGTTTTATCCATACTCCACTTACAGTTTTTCACTTACATTTGAGGTATTAATGCACCTTTATTGGACTCATGATTTCAGCCTCCACTGCTCAGTTGTTAAATTTTCAGATAAACACCTTCCTACTTTCTCCTATGCTGCACCACTCGTTTGACAGGAGCTCCCTATAAACAAAGATGAAATTTTTCAGAATCACTGAATTGCATGTTCCTCTGAGAAAAGTTTCAACCAAAAAATGTCACCTAATTCTAATTGCAGCTACCTTCAACAGTTCTCTGCCAAATTCTCTTCCCAATCAGGAGATTCAGGAGCCTTTATTTGCTCCATTTTTGCCAAATACTGATTGCTTCTGACTCCATAGCTTGACAATGTGATACATGCACACAGACCAGTGAGTGGGTGCAGTACCTTGGGCCATGACTTGCCTACATTTTGGTTCACCACAACCCAGCTCCGGGCATGCAATCTGCTGGTGCCAGGTCCAGAAGGGGGTAGGGCAATACTGAGGCAGGGTGGGCCCCACTTGCATGCTGGTGCAAGAGTCTGTGGGCCTTAGAGGGGAGCTGGGCCCACCCCCTCAGACAGGAGTTGCAGCAGTGTGAATGTAGTACAAGCTTGGTCTCCATCCTTCCCCTGGCTCCTCCCATCTCCGGGGAGGAGGCAGGTCTGGACCCCCTTCCCATGCATGCCTTCCCACTCTAAATGATACTCCACAGCCCCTGGGTACTCAAGAGAGCTGGAAAGAGAATTACCTTTGTTTCCAGTTTATCCCCTTTCATATAAAATAGGTTAGGGCCACAGAGGGTTAATATTGGTGTTATATGGCAGAGGTCAGGCTCCACTGACTCCAGCAATCATGTTGCATTAGGTTGTGGTCACTGTTGCTATGCTATTGGGTTTCACAGTTGCTGGGCTTAACAGCCTGATATTACCAAGAGTGGTGGTTGAGCTGAGCAGCTGTGTAGTCGTTGTCTCTCTTTCTGCCAGATTCGTTGGGGGCAGATCCCCAATCACAAAATAAATTATATGGCACTATATTTGCAGCTAGATGGTTGCTATGGTGACAACAAGCTGATGCACCCAGAGGAACTGTAAGAATGGATGGAGTACTGTCTCAAGTTTATTACCATGTAAACAAAAAGACATTTTTTTAAAGAAGCCTGAAGAGCTTCTGCCTCTTGTCTCAACCTCCCCCTCCTATGCCTCTCTTTAGCTGTCATTTAAATCCAATAATGTCAAATAAAGGAAAGGTTGTAAGAACTGTAAGCTCCTCCTAAAGGAGAGTCCCTATGGGTACTCACCCTTAGGTGTTTGGGTGCGGCAGCTCTCAATCTGGCCATTGGAAGATAAGCCCTCGCTGTTGTGGAATCTAACCATGCTCCAATGAACTTGAGGGACATTTGCGGAATGAGTGAGGATTTTTGAATGTTCATTATGAGACCTAGGGCTGTAAATAAGTCTCTTGTAATGTGATTGGGTTGTAGCGCTTGATGGTATGTAGGTGCTTTGATTAGGCAGTCGTCCAGATATGGAAATATCCTAATGCCCTGGTGATGAAGATAGGCTGACACTACGGACAGAGTTTTGGAGAAAACTCTGAGGGCGGACAAAAGGCGGAATGGGAGGACTTTGTATTGAAAATGATGGTTCTCTATGGTGAACCTGAGGAAATGTCTGTGTGCAGGATGTATTGTGACATGAAAATATGTATCTTGTAAATCGAGGTACGTAAACCAATCTCCCACATTCAGGGCTGGCATAATAGAAGCTAGTGTCACCATCTTGAATCTGTTTTCTGAGATGTCGATTGAGGCGACGGAGATCCAGGATGGGTTTCCATCCTCCTGATTTGTTCTCGGTGAGGAAATATCGGGCGTAAAATCCCCTGCCATGGAATTGTTCTGGCACTCTCTCTACTGTGCCAATATTGAGAAGACGAAGAGCCTCCTGCATGAGGAGTCTTGAGATGGGTCCCTGAAAAGGGATGGGGGCGCGGGAGAGGTGGATGGTGGAGAGAGATGGGGTATAGTGTAACCTGAGGTTATCAACTCCCGACCCAGCGGTCAGTGGTGATGGCAAACCCTTTGTTGTAAGGGCCGTAAGCAATGGTGAAATAGCTCCCGGGTTTCTGATTGATGTGTTAGTCTGTAGTCCCTCGACTATACTGTTAAACTGGCTGTTTATTGTTGTGCTGGATGGGTGCCCTGTTTGATTGTGGCCACGGTCATACTCATAGCTCCGTACTGGCCCAGACAAACATGGCTCCCGCTTCTAATACAAATGTCCCTGAGACCACCATATCATTTACTGGAGAGCCCAGACCTCCTGATACAACGTGGGAAAACCATGATACACCCTCAAATCGACTGACTACATCTTACAGCCTGGCTCCTAGCTGGTTCCATCAGACAGAGATCATCTGCTCTCAAGGCATCAAGCATGTCTTGTTGCACAATAGACGCGACTCCACGTGAAAGACTTACCTTAAGTGGTGGCGATTCTACTCTTGGTGCAACGACAACAGCTGTGACACTATGACACTTCCAATCCATCGTATTTTGGACTATGCACTAAACCTTCAATGCTCCAGTCTTGCCATACCATCCATAAGGGTCCACCTATCGGCAATTTCCACCTTCAGACAACCAATAGAAGGATACTCAGTATTTGCCCATCCCATGACCAAAAGATTTTTTAAGGGACTCACAAATCTTTATCCTATGCAGAGAAGTCCCCCAGCACCCTGGGATCTTCAATTAGTCTTGGACACTCTTACATGTCCACCCTTTGAGCCGATAGCCACCTGTGACTTTCCCGTAGTTACCATGAAAATTATCTTCCTTCTAGCCATCACCGCAGCGCGAAGGGTTGGTGAACTCACAGCTCTTTTGGCTGACCTGCCTTACACGCTCTTTACTAATACTGGAGAGATATTACAGCCACATCCGAATTTCCTTCCGAAAGTGAACTCGGAATTTCATATTAACGAACCAATAATACTTGCTACCTGTTATCCTAAACTGCATGCCTCACCTTATGAGGCTTGACTTCATATGCTAGATGTTCGGAGGGCCTTAGTGTTTTACCTAGAGAGAACACGACCCTTCCAACAATCACAATGCCTATGCACGGATGAGTGATCCAAGGATCGGCTGTTATCATTGCAACATATTTGTAAACTAATTGTGAAATGCATAGCATACTGCTACTCGCTGTGCCATAAAACAGTACCTGCCTTGATACATGCACATTCCACCAGAGCGACAGCTGCAACCACAGCCTTCTACTGAGTCATGTCGCTACAAGATATTCGAAGAGCGGCAACCTGGTCTTGGGACGTGACATTTGCAAAACACTACGCAATTGATGCCACTGTCTGGGACTCGGTGCTAGCATCGGCAGTGCTTTCCACAGTGCAGAGCTCCTGACTCCAATCCCTCTTCTGTAGGCCAGACGACAGCTCGGTACTCACCTATAGTGGAGCACCCACAGGGACACTGCCCGAAGAAGAAAAGGAAGTTACTCACCTTGTGCAGTAACGATGGTTCTTCGAGGTGTGTGTCCAAATGGGTGCACCACGACCTGCCCTCCTCCCCGTTCGGAGTCTTCTCCAATTAGGAGGAACTGGCAGGAGCTGGACTGCGCGCAGCCTCAGAAATGGCATGAAGGGCATGTGCCACTGCTGTCCGGCTAAACCACGGCTAATGAATCTTCGACCTGTGGCGCTGGGACGAGCCTGACACCTACAGTGGACCACCTATGGGGGAACACACCTCGAAGAACCATCGTTACTGCACAAGGTGAGTAACTTCCTTTTCTCTGCATCTTTACAGCTCTGCATATCTAATTACACTGTACTGCTCGCAAAATGTACACTTCCTATTTTTGAGCAACTATCACACTTTGACAGTCTTCCTGATGACAAAAAAGAATAGTTTATGGCCAGTATAAATGAGGGCACACTGATTTCTCTCACAGCATTACAGGCTGTGTTAGATGCCTCAAAAACTTCATCCCGGTTCATTGCGACGGCTGTTGTGATGAGAAGGTCATCATGGCTTCACCTCTCCGGTTTTCCCCATGAGGTATAGGCCATGGTTGAAGACCTTCCCTTCCAGGGGGCCAAACTGTTTGCAGACATCACCAATGCATTGTTCCACTCCCTCAAGGACTCACGGGCCATATTAAAGACACTCAGTATCCACGTCCCTGTGCCAAAATGCAAACAGGGAAGATATTTTCCACAGCGATACAAGACTTCGCATTTTACTCAAGCTCAGAAGCATTTTGACAATACAAAGAGGCAACGGCAAACCCAATGGAAGCAAACCCCTGACCTGCCCTTAACTTTGAGACAAACAGTTTTAAGAGTCTGACAACATCTCTTAGCTTAAGGCAACCTCAGCCCCATCAGTTATTTCGCCAGCATCTAGTACCTTTCTACCATCATTGGTCTTCCACCACGACCAACAAGTGGGTACTCGACATTATAAAGGGTGGATACTGTATCCCCTTCTCTTCTACCCCCTTCTCGCATCCATCTTCCCTTTCCCTCTTCAGGGACCCATCTCACCAGAGCATTTTACTCCAAGAGATAGACCATTTGCTTTGCCTGAGCGCCATAGAACCCGTACCTCATTGCTACAGGAACAAAGGGTTTTATTCCCATTTCTTCCTCACAACAAAGAAATTAAGGGGATGGAGACTGATTCTCAATCTCGGAAGGCTCAACCGCCATATACAACCTCAGTGGTTCAAGATGGTCACCCTATCTACTATAATTCCTGTCTTTAACAAGGGGGACTGGTTATTGACTCTCAACCTCCTGAACACCTATTTTCATGTATCTATTAATCCAGAGGCCTGTGGACATGGTGCATTGAACACAACATTTGCATACTAGCCCCTTATCTACCGGGCACAGACCTCAACCGCCATATACAACCTCAGTGGTTCAAGATGGTCACCCTATCTACTATAATTCCTGTCTTTAACAAGGGGGACTGGTTATTGACTCTCAACCTCCTGAACACCTATTTTCATGTATCTATTAATCCAGAGGCCTGTGGACATGGTGCATTGAACACAACATTTGCATACTAGCCCCTTATCTACCGGGCACAGACA